GTATAGACCTCAGCCATTGCTCAAGGAACCACTATCAACCTCTGAAGGAACCCTAGAGTGTAATGGAAGCTTGACTGAGGATGGCTAGTATATCTTATTCCCAAAAAGAAACCATACGTCACAGAATTGACTGTAAATAAAATGTTTTCTTCAAAGTGAAGAGCTGCTTAAATATTGGGGTCACACATCTCAAATAGAAGGAGTTTTGTGCCCCAGAGGACTGAAAGAAAGTAAATAATATTGGAGCAGAGGATGTATTTCAGATACAACACCATCTGTTTTCTGAAGGCTCACGCTGTAATTTATTCACCTTAATAGCTGACTTAATTAAAATCTATAGTGAGGAGTATCTGCAGAATCACTTGCATGTGGCTAAATGAGTCTGAAATTGAAATGCCACAAAATAATAATGGAGTCCAGATAGAAGTTATTATAAAGACAGATGTTAAACATAAGACAATGTTTTTCAGGGGCTAAACTACCTTTTATCAGGGCTGGAATGTAACATAGTAAATTAAAATATAATATTTAAATATCAGGATAAAAAAGCCAGTAAGGGCATACTACAGTTAATAGACTGCAGATTGATGGTGATAGAAAATGAACTCTTAGGTGCGTGTATATGAAGTACTGTGCAAAAGTCATAGGCAGATGTGATAAAATGCCATAAATGAAGAATGCTTTCAGAAATACAAGTGTTGATAGTTTTTTTTGATTAATTAACAAAATGCAAAGTAAATGAACAGAAGAGCAATCAAATCAAATCAATGTTTGGTGTGACCACCCTTTGCCTTCAAACCAGCATCAGTTCTTCTAGGTAGACTTGCACACAGTTTTTGAAGGAACTCAGCAGGTAAGTTGTTCCGAACATCTTGGAGAACTAACCACAGATCTTCTGTGTATGTAGGCTGCCTCAAATCCTTCTGTCTCTTCATGTAATCCCAGACAGACTCCATGATGTTGAGATCAGGGCTTTGTGGGGGCAAACTATCAATTACAGGATTCTTTGTTCTTCTTTACACTGAAGATAGTTCTAAATGACATTGGCTATATCTTTGGGGTCGTTATCGTGCCAATCATGCGCCTCCCCGATGGTATGGCATGATGGATAAGTATCTACCTGTATCTGTCAGCATTGATGAAAAAAAATAACTCTGATACTACAGTAATTAATACAAATGGATAGTACTGTTAGTGATAGTTTTAATAGTGAAAATAAATAATATATAACAAAGGCATTAATATTAATGAATATAATACTATAAAACCACAGTAAAGATATTATAGACATTAAATAGCATATTATGAGCTGCCATTGTCATTAGGGAACCAGCTGATACACATTGGTATAAAGAAGGCTTTCTCCACTTTTTGACCCAGAGGCACTCCTAAAATAATTTTCAGGTCTCGGGGAACCCTTACTGAAAACCACTTCATTGGAGGGTCAAGGGGGAAACGGGCCCTTAAATTGGTGATCAGAAGGAAGAATGTTCGTTACATTGGTGGTCAGTGGGAAGAATGCTCCTTACATTGGTGGCCAATTGGAAGAATGCCCTTTATATGGTGGCAAGTGGGAAGAATGTCCCTTACATGGTGTTGAGAGGGAAGATTGCTCCTTACATTGGTGATCAGAGGAAAAAATGCCTCTCATAGTGGTCAGAGGGAAGAATGCCTCTTACATGGTGGTCAGAGGGAAGAATGCTTCTTACATGTTGGTCAGAGGGGGAAGAATGCTTCTTACATGTTGGTCAATGGGAAGAATACCCTTTATATGGTGGCAAGTGGGAAGAATGTCCCTTACATGGTATTGAGAGGGAAGAATACCTCTTACGTGGTGGTCAAAGGGAAGAAAGCCTCTTACATGGTGGTCAGAGGGAAAAATGCCTCTCACATGTTGGTCAGAGGGAAGAATGCCTCTTACATGGTGGTCAGAGGGAAGAATGCCCCATACATTGGTGGTCATTGGAAAGAATGTCCTTTACGTTGGTGGTCAGTAGGATGAATACTCCCTACATTGATGGTCATTGAAAACAATTACTCTTTTGTGGTGGTCAGTGGGAAGAATGCCCGTGATGGACCGCTGTGGGGTCATGCTGCAGGTTTTGCCAAGTGGGGTACGCCTTTGGAACTATGCAGGCACTATGAGATGGGAGATCATTTGGCCACTGCTCAAGGAACCCTTAACCACCTCTGGAGGAACCCTAGGGTCCAATGGAAACCTTGTTGAGGAAGGCTGGAAAGGATATACTAAATAAAAACAACATGTCAGAGAGTTGACTGAACATAATATGTTTACAGTTGAGTTTTCTCCAGAGTGAAGAGCTGCTGAAACATTGGGGTCAAACAAGTCAAAGAGAAGAAGATCAGACCCCAGAGGATTGAAAGAAAGTAAATAATAGAGCAGAAGATATTTCTCAGAGATAAAAACAGAGTCTGTTTTTCGAAGGCTTGTGCTGTAATTTATTCACCTTAATAGCTGACTTAATTAAAATCTATAGTGAGGAGTATCTGCAGAGTTGCTTGCACATGGCTGTCACAGCGCCTTTCTCTCCTATGCAAATCACAAGGTGATGAGACGGCTAATGAATCGCAGTCTGCGGGTGTTTGCTTAGTGTTGGAGCTTCCATGCTGTGAGGTCAGAACATTTATTTCCACCAGCGGACAGATAAAACCACAGTAAATAATTCACAGCCAATGTTTTCATTGTGGTATGGCAGTCACATTCTGAGATTTATTGAAAGCAGGAAATGATTACAGTGCTTAATCTGGCTGTCCTGTTACCAAAGAGAAAACGCAAGTGGTCGATTAATTTTAATCTGGGTGTGGTGCATGCAGAATAAAGGGTTACATTTTGTCGTGCAGCCAAGGGGCCCCAGTAGTTTACAAGACATGGTACAATGTAGAGAGATTGAGCTTTCTTTAAATTACATACCTGTAGGCCAACCACAGCTTCTGCAAATCCTGGCCAGTGATCAGCGCCGTCCTGCATAGTTGGTACATTGAGCAAGCCCCCATTATCACAGGAATGAGCATGGAGCTGCTGAATTGCTCGTCCACAAATACACGCATGCGCAGCATGTGCTCCCTCCCCCATCACAGCAGCACTGCTGTGACAGGGGAAGAGCATGTGCTAATTTGTGGAGGAGAGGAAGAGTACGCTACACATGTACAGAATTGTGGGAAAAGAAAGAGGGCAGTGTGCTTGTGTGGACGTGGGAGAGAGCATTGTGCCTGTGTGGATTTGTGGACATGGGAGAGAGCATTGTGCATGTGTGGACATGGGAGAGAGCATTGTGCATGTGTGGATTTGTGGACATGGGAGAGAGCATTGTGCATGTGTGGATTTGTGGACATGGGAGAGAGCATTGTGCATGTGTGGACATGGGAGAGAGCATTGTGCATGTGTGGATTTGTGGACATGGGAAAGCGCACTATGAATTTGCGATTTGTGGACTAGGAAGCATGCCCCATGCATGTGTCATATTGCGGGCAAGGGAGAGCGCACTGTGCATGTGTGGAGGAGGGAGAGTGCATTTTATGTGTGCAGATTTGTGGAGGGGGGAGAGCACACTGTGTATGTGCCGATTTGTGGACAACGGCGAGCGCACTATGTATGTGCAGATTGTGGACCAGGGAAAGCACACTGCACATACTGTACGTATATTTGTGTATGAGGGAGAGTGCATTTTTTGTGTGCAGATTTGTGGAGGGGGGAGAGCACACTGTGCATGTGCCGATTTGTGAACAAGGGAGCGTGCACCATGCATATGCGTGCCACATTGTGGACAAGGGAGACCACACTGTGCATGTATAGATCTGTGGAGGAGGGAAGTGCATTGTACATGTGCAGATTTGTGGACACGGGAGAGCACACTGTGCATGTGCAGATTTGTGGACACGGGAGCGTGCGCCATGCATGTGCGTGCCTTATTGTGGACAAGGGAGACCGCATTGTGCATATGCTGATTTGTGAACTAGGAAGAGTGCCCCATGCATGTGCCATATTGTGGACAAAGGAGAGAGCGCAGTGTGCATGTGTGGAGGAGGGAGAGTGCATTTTTTTTGTGTGCAGATTTGTGGAGGGGGGAGAGCACACTGTGCATGTGCCGATTTGTGAACAAGGGAGCGTGCACCATGCATATGCGTGCCACATTGTGGACAAGGGAGACCACACTGTGCATGTAAAGATCTGTGGAGGAGGGAAGTGCATTGTACATGTGCAGATTTGTGGACACGGGAGCGTGCGCCATGCATGTGCGTGCCTCATTGTGGACAAGGGAGACCGCATTGTGCATATGCTGATTTGTGAACTAGGAAGAGTGCCCCATGCATGTGCCATATTGTGGACAAAGGAGAGCGCAGTGTGCATGTGTGGAGGAGGGAGAGTGCATTTTTTGTGTGCAGATTTGTGGAGGGGGGAGAGCACACTGTGCATGTGCCGATTTGTGAACAAGGGAGCGTGCACCATGCATATGCGTGCCACATTGTGGACAAGGGAGACCACACTGTGCATGTAAAGATCTGTGGAGGAGGGAAGTGCATTGTACATGTGCAGATTTGTGGACACGGGAGAGCACACTGTGCATGTGCAGATTTGTGGACACGGGAGCGTGCACCATGCATGTGCGTGCCTCATTGTGGACAAGGGAGACCGCATTGTGCATGTGCAGATTTGTGGACAAGGGAAAGCGCACTATATATGTGCAGATTATGAACTAGGGAAAGCACACTGCACAAGCTGTATGTAGATCTGTGGAGGAGGGAAAGTGCATTGCACATGTGCAGATATGTGGAGGAGGGGCTGCACACTGTGCACGTGCCAATTTGTGGACAAGGGAGAGCGCACTGTGCATGTGCAGATTGTGGACTAGGGAAAGCGCACTGTGCATATGTAAATTTGTGGATGAGGGACTGCTCTTTGCCTCATCTAAATTAATTGTTCGGAAATTTTTATTAGCTTTATAGGACACTAATGTACTCCCATGTCTCATCCCCTGCAGGCCCTGTCCACCATGGATGAGTTCAGGAGCCTGGACCGAGACATTGAAGGGTCGGCCAAGCGCTGGAAGAAGTTTGTGGAGTCTGAATGTCCTGAGAAAGAGAAGTTCCCCCAGGAGTGGAAGAACAAGACGTCTCTCCAGAGACTGTGCATGATGAGGGCCATTCGTCCTGACCGCATGACCTACGCTGTCAGGTAAGGAATGCAAATCTCATATTCCTTGGTGGGGTATGCTCACATTTTCACACAAGGTCATTATATAATCTTTTATAACATGCAGGTCACAGTAAGTTTTAAAGTAGACAAAAATCCACCCGCTAAGCCTTAGCAGAGTAAAATAATTCCAAAAGTTATTTTTCTTTGGTCAGTTTTCATTAAAATAATCCCTGGTGATCCTGCCTGTTCAGACCCTTCCTGTTATAGAGTGACATCATTCTGTTCTTGTCTCCCAGCTGTGCTCCTGGGTTGCCACCCTGTCAAACAAACCCATAAGGGGGACTAGAAGTGGCCAATTCCCCACACATCACACAGGCATGGGCCAATGTTGGCATCATCAGCAGGCCCACCCTGAGAAATAGCCACGCAGCCTAGGAGCTTACAATCTAAGGTCCCTATCTAACTTACTCTACAAATACATACTAGGAGCTTGCAATCTAATGTTCCTATCTCCATACGTACACATACTAGGAGCTTGCAATCTAAGGTCCCTATCTAACATACATACACATACTAGGAGCTTGCAGTCTAATGTCCCTATCTCTCCATACGTACACATACTAGGAGCTTGCAATCTACGGTCCCTATCTCTATACGTATACATACTAGGAGCTTGCAATCTAATGTCCCTATCTCCATACGTACACATACTAGGAGCTTGCAATTCAAGGTCCCTATCTCTATACATACACATACTAGGAGCTTGCAATCTAATGTCCCTAATCTCCATACGTACACATACTAGGAGCTTGCAGTCTAATGTCCCTATCTCCATACGTACACATACTAGGAGCTTGCAATCTAATGTCCCTATCTCCATACGTATACGTACACATACTAGGAGCTTGCAATCTAACGGTCCCTATCTCTATACGTACACATACTAGGAGCTTGCAGTCTAATGTCCCTATCTCTATACGTACACATACTAGGAGCTTGCAATCTAACGGTCCCTATCTCTATACGTATACATACTAGGAGCTTGCAATCTAATGTCCCTATCTCATACGTACACATACTAGGAGCTTTGCAATTCAAGGTCCCTATCTCTATACGTACACATACTAGGAGCTTGCAATCTAATGTCCCTATCTCCATACGTACACATACTAGGAGCTTGCAATATAATGTCCCTATCTCCATACGTACACATACTAGGAGCTTGCAATTCTAAGGTCCCTATCTCCATACGTACACATACTAGGAGCTTGCAATCTAATGTCCCTATCTCCATACGTACACACATACTAGGAGCTTGCAATCTAATGTCCCTATCTCCATACGTACACATACTAGGAGCTTGCAATCTAATGTCCCTATCTCCATACGTACACATACTAGGAGCTTTCGATTCAAGTCCCTATCTCTATACGTACACATACTAGGAGTCTTGCTAATGTCCCTATCTCTACGTACACATACTAGGAGCTTGCAATCTAATGTCCCTATCTCCATACGTACACATACTAGGAGCTTGCAATCTAATGTCCCTATCTCCATACGTACACATACTAGGAGCTTGCAATTCAAGGTCCCCTATCTCTCCATACGTACACATACTAGGAGCTTGCAATCTAATGTCCCTATCGCTATACGTACATATACTAGGAGCTTGCAGTCTAATGTCCCTATCCTATACATGCACATACTAGGATTGCAGTATAATGTCCCTATCTCCATACGTACGCATACTAGGAGCTTGCAATCTAATGTCCCTATCTCTATACGTACACATACTAGGAGCTTACAATATAAGGTCCCTATCTCTATACGTACACATACTAGGAGCTTGCAACAATCCAAGGTCCCTATCTCTATACGTACACATACTAGGAGCTTACAATCCAAGGTCCCTATCTCTATACGTACACATACTAGGAGCTTACAATCCAAGGTCCCTATCTCTATACGTACATATACTAGGAGCTTGCATTCTAATGTCCCTATCTCTATACGTACACATACTAGGAGCTTACAATCCAAGGTCCCTTGCATTCTAATCTCGCTATACGTACACATACTAGGAGCTTACAATATAAGGTCCCTATCTCTATACGTACACATATTAGGAGCTTGCAATATAAGGTCCCTATCTCTATACGTACACATATTAGGAGCTTGCAATATAAGGTCCCTATCTCTATACGTACACATACTAGGAGCTTGTCATCGAAGGTCCCTATTTCACTTAAATATACATACTAGGAGCTTACAATCTAAGGTCCCTATCTCCATACATACACATACCAAGAGGAAGTGCTGATACAAGGTCATCCAGCTCTCAGAACAAAGATGCCAAACTGTGCCCCCCCCCAGTTCCTTTGTCCAGCAGTCACTCACTTGTTGAAATCACAGCCACTGTCACTATTTCTGTCTCTTGTAACATGAGGAAGGCACCCCCATCCCTACAGCAAACTACTGCGCCCAGGGCAGCTTTCCCTTCTGCCCACCCCTTGTCCTAGCCCTGCTAGGAGCTTACCATCTGTAATGCCTATGAAATGTGTTGGCCTTGGACCCTTTGTTTCTTGGGTAATTTTTACAATAAAGCATTGTTGTCCAAATGCCAGGGGCATGAGAGGTGACTGATGTGTAATTTCTCTAGTTCTCAAAGGAACAGAGTCACAAGATATTCTGCTGAGAGCAAGATAAAAACTTGTTTGTGGAATGAAATGTGTGTATGACATCTAGTAACTTCACATTAGGAGATATAAACCTGTTTATGGAATGAAACTCATGTATGACATCTAGTAACCTCACATTAGCACATAAAAAGTTGTTTAAAGATGTCTAAGTTAGAAATCCTTAAGTCTGGGGTAGATGAGAAGAAGTTTTGGGGTAGATAAGAAGTAAAAGTGTGACTTTTTCAGATAACAAATAATATGGTGTTTGAACGTGACTGTTATCCTCGCAGAACCCTTCTGCTAGCTCCTCCTGTGGTGAGTGTGGCGCCGCCCACTATTGGACAGCTTCCAGAAAATTGGTTTATAAGACGGAGGTTCGGGCAAGACCAGTAGAAGCCCCCCTTAGTGGCCAGAGGATGCTGGGATTTTTGCCAAGGCTACATGGGCTCATTAACTGGTCACGCCTATGGCTTCCCCGTGACCCCCTGGGCAGTTTGGTTCCGATGGGATTTGTTCTTCCCACCTTCTAACATAGCTTTGGTAATGTATTCATTCTATGCTGCGACGCTGTCAAATGATGTGTCTATTTCATGCTGCAATGCTCACACTCTTATTGGTGTGTTATTATGCAAATTGTGATGACTATAAGATATATCCTCCTGTGTGTCGTGTGATAATAAAAGTGGAGGTTCTGGCAGTGCAAGAATATTGCAGTTGGATTCTGTTATTTCTTGGAGTGCCGGGTGAATGCTATGATGTGCCAGGGCAGGTGTTCATTTGGCAGATGGTCTTTCACATGCGTAGAATATGTAATGGTTTAAATGCTGATTAAAAGGTACCTGCATGACTACATGTTTATTATGTGCATGTAGAAGACTTGCTTTTAGTTATTGCACCCAGCATCTCTATTACACCATCTAAGGTCCCTATCTCCATACCTGCACATACTAGTTGCTTACAGTCTATGGCCCCTGACTCATACACATACTTAGAGCTTAGTCTAAGGTCCCTGTCCCATATATATATATACACATACTAGGAGCTTACAATCTAAGGGCCCTATATCTATACATACAAATACTAGGAGCTTACAATCTAAGGGCCCTATATCTATACATACAAATACTAGGAGCTTACAATCTATGGCCCCTATCTCACATACATACATACACATACTAGGAGCTTGCAATCTAATGTCCCCATCTCCATACATACACATACTAAAAGCTTACAATCTAGGGTCTCTAACTCCTATACATACACATATGTCTTTGTAGTGTGGGAGGAAGCTAAAGTACCTGGTGGAAACCTATGAAGGCACAGGGAAAACAATGAAAACTCTATCCAGTGTTGCTGGGCAGGAGAGCTAACCACACAAAAATGATAATACACAATGTCTTGGCAAACTAAATGTCATGCAGTATTATATTTTAATAAAGGCTTCATAAATTTGTCATCCACACTACACCGGCTTGCATGCGAGAAATTGACATATCTGTGGGCATCTGGCTCTCCAGCTGTTGTGGAACAGAATTGTTGCAATAACATGCTAGGACTTGTAGTTCCCCATCAGCTGGAGAGCCCCAGGCTGGAAACGCTAAGCCTTCATATATGTAATAGTGTGGGGACTCTGACCTTCCGGATGCCGCAGCTGAGATCCTGGCGCAGTTCAGAGCAGACGCAGCTGATGAAGAGGGAGAGCGATGTTCTGAAATATTCTGCTAATTGGTTTTGTCCATCTCTAGAGAGGCCTCCACCGGCCCAGACACAGCTGTACGGGAACGATTACTGATCTGAATGTCTCAGGGATCTGGGAGCTCCAGTCTTCTAAACCAGAGATGCAAGGCTAGGGCTGTCTGAGCTCTTCAATGGTGGCGTCCTTGTGTTACATCCTAGTAGTAGATGCTTACCCTTGATCCTAGCTACACTGTGTTCACAGTTGTTACTGTGGAGCATCATGAATATATACTGTATCTCTTTTGCTTTTCTTTGATATTAAGATAGTTCTATGATCAGAGCGAACTGTTCGCTTTTATACGAGAACAATTACCACTCTGAATACCCTGAACGTCCCCGTCTGTTTGTTCCTGCATGCCGGGAGCTTTACATGGAGAACATAGCTCCTTTTGTCTGGAGCATTGCCATCGTTCTTTTACTATAGACCTAAAATACATAGTCTGGGTAATGTTGGCACTTTATCCCCAGAGACAAACATTACAGCTCACATGCTCTCGAAATTCTACTTTTAAAACTATCTGAGGGACAATTATCTGGGTGTGTTAACAAAGGAAACAGATTCTTTTGTAGCAACCACCTAGGGTAAGGCAGGCTGCTAGGGAATTTTATTTAGGCTCTCCTGTAATCAGCAAAGCAGGGGTTGATTATCTAGGGCTGCTCAGTGTTTCATAGGCTGCTGATCTGTTACTTCCTCAGTCTTCTACAGCAGTGGTCTCCAAACTGAGGCCCATGGGCCGGATGTGGCCCTTTGCTTGCCTTTATCTGGCCCTTAGGGCACTATTCCTTCCACTGACACCAACAATGGGCACTGTTCCTTCCATTGACACTAAAGATGGAACACTATTCATCCCACTGAAACCATAGATAGGGCACTATTCCTCCCATGGACACCAATGATTGGGATTATACTTCCCACTAATACCAATGATGGGGCACTATTCCTCCAACTGACACCAATGATGGGGCACTATTATTCCCACTGACACCAATGATGGGGCACTATTCCTCCCACTGACACCAAGGGTGGGGCACTATTCCTCCCACTGATACCAAGGGTGGGGCACTATTCCTCCCACTGATACCAATGATGGGGCACTATTCCTCCCACTGACACCAATGATGGGGCACTATTCCTCCCACTGATACCAATGATGGGGCACTATTCCTCCCACTGACACCAATGATGGGGGCACTATTCCTCCCACTGATACCAATGATGGGGCACTATTCCTTACACTGATACCAATGGTGGGGCACTATTCCTTCCCACTGATACCAATGGTGGGGCACTATTCCTCCCACTGATACCAATGATGGGGCACTATTCCTCCCACTGATACCAATGATGGGGTACTATTCCTCCCACTGATACCAATGATGGGGTTATTCCTCCCACTGATACCAATGATGGGGTACTATTCCTCCCACCTACACCAATGATGGGGCACTATTCCTCCCACTGATACCAATGATGGGGCACTATTTCTCCCACTGATACCAATGGTGGGGAACTATTCTTCCCACTGATACCAATGGTGGGGCACTATTCCTCCCACTAATACCAATGATGGGGCACTATTCTTCCCACTAACAGCAATGATGGGGCACTATCAGTAGGGTTGAGGTCAGGGCTCTGTCTAAGCCACTTGAGTTCTTCTACAACAAACTGGTTGAAGCATGTTGTTATGAAGCTGGATTTGTAAACAGGGGCAAAGTCATGCTTAAAAAAAGGAAGGGCCTTTCCCAAACGGTTATCAAAAGGTTGAGGAGCACAGTTGTCCAATATGTTGTAGTATTAACAGTAACCTTCAATGGACATACAAACTCACTTACTTAAAGGGAGATACACATACTTAAGCCATATGGTATATTTTGTTTGGTATGCTGTAATAAAATATTAGAATGACTTGTGTTTTTTTTTTTTTTAAATAAACTGCAGGGTAACCCATAGCAATGGAACATAGATCAAAAATGGGCTAATTCTGATATCGTGTGCTAGTATACTGTGTATTGTCGTACTGAACAGACATATATATGATTCCTGTGGTCTTCCTCCAGGGACTTTGTAGAGGAGAAGTTGGGCAGTAAATATGTTGTCGGACGATCTCTGGACTTTGCCACTTCATATGAAGAGTCCGGACCGGCCACTCCTATGTTCTTCATCCTGTCGCCCGGTGTGGACCCTCTGAAAGATGTAGAGAAACAAGGTAAAGAAATGACCTGCTTCCAGCTGTAAATATGGGCAGAAATAATGGGGGCAGTACAAGTTATTCATGCTCTACAAGGGAAATTACTGAGATAATCTCTTTTTCCATCTCAGGGAGGAAGCTGGGCTACACATTTGATAACCAAAATCTGCACAACGTCTCACTGGGACAGGGACAGGAGATTGTGGCCGAACAAGCCCTGGATCTGGCAGCCAGAGAGGGACACTGGGTGATCCTACAGGTAAAACGTCACATCTGCTTCCATAGAAGTCCACGTTGATTCCCCCACAGATCATTCATATTACTTTTTTAATGCTGGAGAGATGATGGCTTATGCTGGCCGTCATTTGCGGCTGAATGTTTTCTGTATGTCACAGCTGCTCCCCAGTCCTAGATGTTGTCCGCCTGACGCAACTCACAGATCGCTAGAGCTTCTCATACTTTATTCTTTTTCTCTTTCCTCTCTTTTGCCCTTCTTCTGCCCTTTTTCTTTCACCCAATATTTCATCTCTCTCTACCACCTGTTCTTCTCTTCTCTTTCCTCCATCTATCTCTCAGTTTCTTTCTCTATCTATCTCTCTCCCCTCTCTCTCACCTATCCCTCTATTCTCTCTCTTTCTTTTCTCTACATTCCCCTCTCTATATTTCCTTTCTCTGCCACTCTCCTTTTTCTCTCCCTTCCCTCTCCCTTATATTTTTTCTCCTTACTCTCCTTCTCCTCCATTCATTTCTTCTCTCCCTACCCCTCTCCTTTCCTTACCCCTCTCCTTTCCTTTCCCCTCTCCCCTATCTCTTTCTTCCCCTTTTCTTCGGTCTCTCTCTTCTCCTCCCTTCACTCTCTCACCTCTGCCTCTATAACTCTCTCCTTTTTCTTCCTCTCCCTCCATCTCTTTATTCTTCTCCCGCTTTCTTCGCCCTATGCTTTTCTTTTCCTCCACCCCCCCAACTCTATCTTTCTCCCTCTTTCTTCGCTCTTTCGCCCTCCGCTTTTCCTTTCCTCTATCTCGTTCTCCCTCTTTCTTCTGAAGGATCATAAGCAATAGGAGATGGAGGGCAAGATGGATTTTGGCCCACACCTGATGTTGACGGAGCTGAAGGATCATCAGCAATAGGAGATGGAGGGCAAGATGGAATTCGGCCCACACCTGATGTTGATGGAGCTGAAGGATCATCAACAATAGGAGATGGAGGGCAAGATGGAATTTGGCCCACACCTGATGTTGATGGAGCTGAAGGATCATCAACAATAGGAGATGGAGGGCAAGATGGAATTTGGCCTATACCTGATATTGATGGAGCTGAAGGATCATCAACAATAGGAGATGGAGGGCAAGATGGAATTGCACTCAAACTTGATGTTGATGGCACAGGTTTTTTGATGGATTCAATCCTGTCTACCCTCTGGAAAAAATTATACAGTGATGTCTGAGTAGTAGCTCTTTTTTTCCTCATCATAGATGACTCTGTAGCATGGGATGACATTCTAAACGGCTGCTGCAACCTTTTTGTATCGTTCTACATTGGGGTCCTGTGCCTCAAAAACTAACAGTGCCTCTTCAAGTAAAGAAAATCCCCTTGCCATTTCTTGTGTTGTGAATCTCTTTGGTTCTTCAGTTATATCTTCCTCTTGGCTCTCTTCGTCTTTTCACTGGGCCTCTAATTCCATCAGGTCCTCATTAGTAAGCTCCTCATGTTGCACAACAAGGAGTTAAGTGAAGTCGTCCTTTTGCAGATCTAGCTCCAGCTTTGTGCTAAGGGTCTTTAAGTTGTTGAAAAATCTCTTTGGACTCCTTACCCATCTTCTCAAGTCCATGAACTTCATAAACAAGCTGTGGGCAAAGGTTCTACCAAACCCCATTCATGGTAACAGCCGAAACCTCACGCCAAGCAAAGTTGATGTTTTTTATGGCCTTGTAGATGTTATAGTCCTTCCAAAATTGTCGCAAGGTTGTTCCTGTTTCATCAATAGCCTTCACTTCCTGACAAAAAGTGTGAATATTATTTCTTGAAAGCCGCAATAACTCCTTGGTCCATAGGTTGGACGAGCGCCATAATTATTCAGTGGCAGATGCACTACTTTGACATTGGGATGAAAGTCATCCATGAATTGGGGGTGGCCAGGTGCATTGTCAAGCAGCAAAGAATATTGAATGGGATATCTTTCTCCAAACAATATTTCTATATCTCTGGGATAAAGTGGTGGAAAATCCAGTCCTGGAAAATGGTCTGTGTAACCCTGGCTTTGGAGTTACTCTTCCACACAACAGGTAGAGAGCCCTTGGCTATGTTTTTTGAGGGCTCTTGGGTTCTCTAAATGGTAAACTAAGACAGGCTTTAGTTTCATATCACCGGATGCATTGCCACCAAACAATCAAGTAAGTCTGTCCTTTTGCTGCTTTGAAGTCTGGCAGCAATCTTCTTTCTTCGTTACTGATGTAACTTCGTTGTGGCATCCTCTTCTATTACAGTCCTGTCTCATCGATGTTAAAAACCTGTTGGAGTAGATAAGCACCTTCGTCAATAATTTCTCTAAGTGTTGCTGGAAATTCTTGGGCAGCTATGGTATCTGCAATCACATCCACACCACTTACTTTTACGTTGTGAAGGTTTGCTCTAGCCTGGAATCTGTTAAACCATCCATGGCTGGCAGTAAAAGATGTACACTGTTCACCCTGTTTTAGCTTTTTCTTGAATAAGCATTAAGCTGAGTTGAACTCGACGCTGATCCTGCATCCATACACTGAGAAGTTTATCCATCTCCTCTATCACTTTACCACACTTTTTGGATATTATTGTTGACCTCATAAGCACAGCAGACTTCACATGTTCCATGATCTTGGCCTTGTTCTTTAGAATTGGGCCAATGGTTGAAGGATTCATGTTATAAGAACGAGCGATGTCTACCATCTTTTCGCCTTGGTCCAGTTTCTCAATTATTTTCACTTTTGTTTCCATGGTTGTTGCTTTGTGCTACCTAGCAGTCCCCTCCACATCACCACTGCTTTTCCTTTTGCTTCTGGACATCCTGGGCTCTGTATAGTACACTATCACACTGTACAGTAAGCACACAGCAGCACAACTGTGACAATGTACGGCAGACACGTGAGCTACTTCCACGATTTGTTCGCATCTACGAATGTTCCATAATGCAAGGTCCGTTTGTATCTGTCAAAGTGTGCAACTCAAATGTTTTGCAAGTCGGAACTTACTGTACAGGGTTATACACTCACGCCTGGCTATCACACCTATGAGCTTGTTGGATCTCCTATTCCAAAAACATGGCCATTAATATGGAGTTACCCATTGCAGCTATACCAGTCTCCACTCTTCTGGGAAGGCTTTCCACAAGATTTTTGAGTCTCCATTGGAATTTTTGAGGTCAGGTACTGATGTTGGATGAGAAGACCTGGCTCACATTTGGTGGTCCAACTCATCACAAAGGTGTTCTATAGCAGTGGTGGGCAACCTTTTTTTTCAACTGAGCCAAATCTCGCCAAAACCATGATTGAAATTTATTTTGAGAGCCACATTTTTAAAACTGAAAATACATCTCCCATATAGTAATTCATCCCCCATAGTAATATTCATCCCCCATATAGTAATTCACCCCCCATAGTGTAATTCATCCCCCATAGTAATTCATCCCCCATATAGTAATTCATCCCCCATCGTAATTCATCCCCCATAGTAATTCATCCCCCATATAGTAATTCATATCCATGCATCCATATAGTAATTCATCCCCCATAGTAATTCATCCCCCATATAGTAATTCATCCCCCATAGTAATTCATCCCCCATATAGTAATTCATCCCCCATAGCAATTCATCCCCCGTATAGTATTTCATCCCTCGTATAGTATTTCATCCCCCGTATAGTATTTTCATCCATCATATAGTATTTCATCCCCCATATAGTAATTCATCCCCCATATAGTAATTCAATCCCTCATAATTAGTATTTCATCCCTCATATAGTAAATTTCATCACCCCCCATATAGTATTTCATCCTCCCATATAGTATTTTCATCCCCCCATATAGTATTTCATCCCCCATATAGTATTTCATCCCCCCATATAGTATTTTCATCCCCCCATAGTATTTCATCCCCACCATTTAGTATTTCATCCCTCATATAGTAATTCATCCCTCATAAGTATTTCATCCCTCATATAGTATTTCATCCCCCATATAGTATTTCATCCCTCATATAGTATTTCATCCCTCATATAGTAATTCATCCCTCATATAGTATTTCATCCCTCATATAGTAATTCATCCCTCATATAGTATTTCATCCCTCATATAGTAATTCATCCCTCATATAGTAATTCATCCCTCATTATAGTATTTCATCCCTCATATAGTATTTCATCCCCTCATATAGTAATATCATCCCTCATATAGTATTTCATCCATCATATAGTATTTCATCCCCCCATAAGTAATTCATCCCTCATATAGTAATTCATCCCCCATAATAGTAATTCATCCCTCATATAGTATTTCATCCCCCCATATAGTATTTCATCCCCCCATCTAAGTATTTCATCCCCCATAAAGTAATTCATCCCTCATAAAGTAATTCTTCCTCATATAGTAATTCATGTTCCCTCATATAGTATTTCATCCCTCATATAGTATTTCATCCCCCCATATAGTAATTCATCCCTCATAAAGTAATTCATCCCTCATATAGTATTTCATCCCCCACAGTTTACTATTACCCTACCCCCCCCCCCTTCTAGTAAGCCAAGTCCCCCGTGTCAATTACATTTACCTTTTGCGTTCATCTCGCTGTCTTTCCCCGCGCCGTTCGGGTCTTCAGGGCGGACTGTGAGAGGAGCCTAGCTCCCCTCCCCTCACGTTCGGCACGCTGCCCCGCCTAACACCCGACAGCCACATCCGCCGGGCCGGATAAAAAGGTCGCGCGCGGACTTTTGGGGCTGCCAACCGAGAGGAGGCAGGGGAGCGGGCCGACCGAGAGGAGGGAGGGGTGCATTTTTAAGCAGGCGCCCGGCACACAGAAGAGCCGCATTAGAGTGGGTAAAGAGCCGCATGTGGCTCGCGAGCCGCGGCTTGCCGACCAACTGTTCTATAGGGTTGTGGTCAGGACTTCTGTGCAGGACAATCAAGTTCCTCCACACCAGAATGTCTTATTTTTTGTCCATATTCCAAAAACATGGCCATTAATATGGAGTTACCTTTTGCAGCTACCAGCCTCCACTCTTCTTTGGAT